AATTTAATTAAAATTAATATAAAAATTATATAGTAAATAATTTAATTACTAAACTTTGAATCTTAATATTTTTATAAATACTGATTTAATTTTATGAAATATCAAATATAAACAATCTGCTTGAATAATTTGAAGTTTTAATATTGTAAATTAATAGTGATAATATCTTTTTTTTAAAAAAAATAATTTTATTTTAGTTTTTTTTAGTAAAGTAATACTTTATTTATTATTAAAATATATTAAAAATTATAAATATTAGTTAAAATTTGAATGATTTTTATTAGAAGCAATTATTAATTTTTATATTGATATATCAATCTTGCACTGACTCATAATAGAATTATTATCAATATTATATTTTTTGTATTTAATTCATATTTTAATCTGATGCTATAACAATTTACAATTGGATAATTTTTGATTTGGTGAATGAACTTATTATTTTATTTTTATTTTATCTAATATGTGCTCAAAAAAAATTATATACAAAATTTGGGAATGATAATAGTAATATCCTAGCAATAGCTCATGATGATAATGCAAGATATTGATACAAATACACTAAGAAAGTCTGTACATTTAAATAAATCTATGTAAATTTAATATTTTTTACCACTTTTTCCACGAGTAACAACACGCCACTTTCCAGGCTCATCACCTTCTTCATGCTCACCGCCACTACTTCCACTTCCCGTCTCTTCACTACTGCAATCTTGTCCAACACAAGCGAACGCATAATGTTCATGATGGTGGTGGTGATGATGATGCATTGGTGATGGTTTTCGAGCACGTAAATCTTCGTTTTTCTCCCCTTGCTCACTTTCCTCTTCTACTTTGGTCGATGTGTCATCATCATCACTTTGACTATTACTGGTATTATGAATTTTGTAAGGTCCGGCATCGTTCTCTTCACCTTTATCATCATGATCAGTTTCATTGTCAGTGACGTGATCTTCTACTACCACGAATCCTTTTTGTCTTTCTCGTTCATTCCATCTCAGACATCGCGTCAATGAGGTAAACCAATCACGTGATTGGTTATCCAAACACACGGACGGAAATGGAAATTTCGATGGTGTGACTTTGATATGATCTCCCCCTGTCGTTCATGATATACATAATAATTAGCATATGCACAGTCTAAAGTATAATGTAGGCCTCGCCACGCGCATCCTTGGTCACCACGAATGTCGTCATGCTAGAGGGCATGCTCCATTTGGAGGGCCCAACGCATTATCTTAGGGAATAACCCGAGTTATGTTTACTTACTTTTTAATTCGAGTCTACCGCGTCCATCAAAACTAGCCCAGGCTGTACTTCTACTATTAAATGGAACACATATCCGAAGTTCCGTCGAATCCGGCAAAAGCATTGGTCTAAATGATAAAGTGTGTGGACAAATTGGAGTGAGCAAAAGTGCCGATATTTCTGGGTGAACAAGTGATCCACCGGCTGAAACAGAATATGCCGTTGATCCAGTTGGAGTTGCAACTACTAAACCATCCGCCTGAACTGTGGTCAAATGTTCATCATCGGCTAATTCATTCATTATCAAATATTAGAATTGGTTTTTTTTTTGGATCATAGCAGACAATTGCAATATGAAAATATACCAAATAATTCTAATAAACTCATATAAGGTTCTACACCACGATCAACGACCAAGTCGTTCAAAACCTCAAAAGTTTCCACCGGCTGAGTAACGAAACACGGCAAATTCTTATCAAGCGCACAGTGATGCTCGGCTATTGAATCAATAGGTGCCTTGCTTTCCACGGCATCCCAACTTCCGTTGCCATTCATTATATTTTCCATCATGATCTCACCAGTCTCCCCGCATCTTTTTGCCATCATTTTATTGTCGGACGTAACAATGCGACGATACACGGTACATGTGAAACGCATTCGAAGGTTAACACGAATTCCTTTTTCCATAGCATTAGTAAGATGTTCGTGATAATGTTGATAATCAAAATTTGTCAAAAATCCCAATGATCCCAAACGATACGACATCACCGGGGGAACAACTTTTTGAAATAGCCATGATGTGTAGAGAACAGTTCCATCACCACCAAGCTATAATGTAAACAGAGATGAGTATCTTTTTCCGTGAATGTCCTTCTTACCAATCCCATACTTACCGTGAGTACAAAATTAAAAATCTCCGATTGATTCGCACATAATTCTCTTGTCCAGAATTTAAGATTATCTTCGATAAGTGGGGATGACTTTAATAGTTCTTCGTATTTGAATCTTTTTTCATTTTTGAGATTTTCGTCCACATATATGACAACACCATGATCTTTGCCATATCGAGGTGTCGTTATCAAGTACTTGACTAATTCTCGTGTAAGTTTAATAAGACGAACATCACTTGGCTTGGTGACAATCATCACCGTTTTCATCACTGTTCGAATGCGCGCTCGAGCTAAAGATAATTGATTAAGTTTGATTAATGAATTTGCGCATGCATATGCAAAATATATAGAGAATATACGTAAAGGCTCTTTATACCAATGAAAAATTTCTTTATTTTGAACCTTGATCAGGTTTTCAAAAAGCTTCGTTAAAAGCTGAGGTCGTTATTAAGAGCCCTCACTGTAATATATAACACGTACCTAATTTCTTTGAAATTTCTCTCAC